CTGGAGTTTTAGGGGAAGCTGGAATTTGAACATGACATTTTTTCTGTCTTTTCATTACAGAATTCTAGAGATTCACGTAACTGGATCCATGTAAGCGTATTACATGTAAGGAACCCCTGGTACCCAGGGCCAGGACCGTCATCTCCTCTTTGCTGGTGTCTTCTATTTGCCTCTCTCACATATAAACACACTGCTGTTTTCCTGCAGTTTTGTTTGTTTTAAGCAAGTCACAGATGTCCTGTCCTTTTATCGATAATTATCCAGGTATGCTAAATTTGGAGGTTGATCATGTTTAGATGATATTTAAAACCCTGGGATTTGCTGAGATCATCCAGGCTGAGGAGTTGGAGAAAATGAGAGATGAAGCTGGGTCTCCTGTGCGCAGGGTCAGGGGAAGGGCAGCACCCTGGAGAGAGGCTGAGGAGCACCCATAGAGGAGGCCAGGAGCCAGAGCCAAGGGAACAAAGGGCTCCCAGAGAGGGGGATTGACTCGAGGTCACCTGAGAAAGACAATGCTTTTTTAAAAGTATTCTTTAGTTGCCAATGGACCTTTATTTTATTTATTGATATGTGGTGCTGAGAATTGACCCGTGCCTCCCACATGCTAGGCAAGCGCTCTACCACGGAGCCACCACCCCAGCCCCAAGACCATGCTTTTTAATCCCTAGGCTTAACTATATTATGGACACTTCTGAATATTATAGTATAGATTCTATAAGGAAAAGTTTATAAGTACTTATTTGTCTATCTTTTGGGGGGTTGAGGTGTAACTTAGATTGTAAAATGTGTAAAGGACACAAATGTGATGTGTAAGGTCAGAGAATTTTTGCAAATATATATACACATGTAACCACCGATAGCCAGATAGCATTCGTAGGACCTCCGGGATTTCCCCTGTGCCCTTTCCCCCCACTCTAGAAGCAACCACAGGCCTGTCACTCTGGATTAGTCGCACCATTTGGAACTTCATACAAATGAAAGCTGACAGCTTGCTTTGTGTGTCAGAGAGCTACTTCAGCACTCTCTGCTTGGGAAAGTCTTCTGTGGCATTGCAAGTAGAGGAGGTTGTTCTCTGAGACTAGCCCTGAAAGGATACCCACATACAGATAATTTTATAGTATTTAAAACAAAAAGACTCTGCATTTCACTTCCAGATGTCTTGCAGTCTAGTGAATAAGTAATGAGCCTTAAGGAGAAAGGATCAAATTCTTTTTAAAGTTCCAGTGGAACTGTGCACGCCTGCGATCCCAGCTATTTGGGAGGCTGAGGCAGGATCACAAACTCCAGGCAGCCTGAGAAACTTAGTGAGACCCTGTCTCAAGATTTAAAAAGCCCGGCTCGGTAGTGCATGCCTGTAATCCTAGCCACTCTCCCTCAGGAGGGTGAGGCAGGAGGATTAAGAGTTCAAACCCAGTCTCAGAAATTTAGTGAGGCCCTAAGTATTCCAGTGAGACCTGTCTCCAATAAAATATTAAAAAGGATTGGGGATATGGCTCAGAAGTTAAATGCCCCTGGGTTCAATCCCTGGTACCAAAAAAAAAAAAAAAATGGTGGAGGTGGGGGTTAGGGATGTACCTCAGAGGTAGAGAGCTCCTGCCTTTCCCCAGGACTACAAAACCAAACCAAAAGTTCCAGCAAGAAGCACTCTCCTGGGTTTTGTATGTTGGTAAGTATTTCACGCAGCATAAAAACTCCAAATAAGTCTTTGAACTGCTGCTCTGGCCTTGATTTGAACAGCTTCCATTATGGACCACAGTAAAGACCTGGATGAATCTTGGAGATGTTTGTTTTAAGTGGATGTGGCAGGGAGGACAGAGCCATGGGCAGTCAGACAGAGACTGGAAAAGAAGAGGAGCCCAGGGTATGAGGCAGCCAGGATGGGGAGGTGGGGAGGTCGGAGGAGGAGGATGGGGTCAAACCCTGAAGAGTCCCCAGGTGAGGCTCAGGTTTTGCTGACCCAAAGGAACTCTGCTCTGCTATGGAGAAGATGTGCAGGGTCTTCCAGCCATTGAGCAAGTACACAGCAGGGCAGGCCTCCGGGTTCCTTCCAAGGCTCAAAGTCCGGCAAAAGGAATCACCATAGAGGTCACGATGGTGGTCACTGGGAATGGAGGAGGATATTGACTAGGAGGGACACAGAGATTGACTAGGAGGGACACAGAGGGGTTTTTTTTTTTTGTTTTGTTTTGTTTTTGGTACTGGGGTTTGAACTCAGGGGCACTCAACCACTGAGCCACATCCCCAGCCCTATTTTGTATTTTATTTAGAGACAAGGTCTTACTGAGTTGCTGAGGCTGGCTTTGAACTCATGATCTTCCTGTCTCAGCCTCCTGAGCCACTGGGATTACAGGCATGCGCCACCACACCCAGCTACAGAAGAGTTTTAAGTGGCTAGGAACTTCTAGCCTGATCTGAGTGGTGACGGCTCAGGTGAATGTATTTGTAAAAATTAATTGAAACTACACTTAAAATGTGTATACTTTGTGTACATTATATCTCAATAAAAGAAAAAAAAACAGCTTGCTTGGCCTTGGAGCTAGACTTTAATAGGAGGGCAGTGGGGGCTGTGAAAGATTTTGAGCATGGCAAAGCCCTGGTCAGTTCTGAGTGTTATAAAGGTCCCCAGGGCCACTATGGGAGATGCCTAAAGGGTGAGGCCAGGGGGCTGGTCTCTCTATAATCTTTTTTTCTCTTTTTTTATTAGTTACACATGACAGTACAATGATCTCGACATATCATACTCTCTATAATCTTGGGCAAGCTCTCACCTATCTCTGGGCCTTTTCTTCTCCACCCAGTCTTCATGCGAGTAGAAGCAGAACAGAAATAAGAGAGAGAAGTCACCAAAATTGCCAGAGATTGAGCCCCTAGAAGGAGGAACAGCCCTCTGATTTGTGTCTGCACCCCAACTCCTGGCACAGTAAGAAGCATTGATTTGGTGACAGGGGGTGGAAAGACTTCTAAAAGGGGGTCATGAGGATCTGAGCACCGCTGGGATGGGGGAGGGTAGGTAGGCCAGGCAGACCCAAGGAAATCTAGAACATGGTGTCTCTTCTGTATCCTCTTCCTTCCTTATTCAAAAGCTCCTTTTAGCCAGGTACCATGGTGCACACCTGCAATCCTGGTGATGGGAGGCTGAGACAGGAGGACTGTAAATTTGAGACCAGTCTCAGTAACTTAGCAAGACCCTGTCTCAAAATTTAAAAAAATTAATCAATAAAAAGGGCTGGGGATGTGACTCAGTGGTAAGGGTTCAACCTTCATAATTGGGTGGTTGGCTGAAGGCCCCTTTTGACCGGTTTTGACCCAGTTTCAGCTAAAACCAACAGAAGGGTGATTACTGTGAAGGTGAGGGACTTTGGGGCCCCAGGTAGTCAGAGGGTTCATTCTGTGACATTTATGCCAGGCCCTTGGCCTTGACAACATGGTAGTTGACAAAAATGAAAATACAGCTGTCCCCGAGCCTGCCTGGGCTAGCTGGCTAAGCGGCGGGGCTCCGGAGCGAGGCTGCCTGAGTCTCATCCTACCCTCCCTCCACCTCTCTGCTATGACTTAGGGCAGGTTTTTTAATCTCTGTAGCTCAGTTTTCTCATCCATAAAATGGGACCAAAGTGCCCACCTTGCCTCCTTTTGTAAGATCGTTAAGGGTTTAGCATGATGGTGGCCCAATAGTTATTAGTGGGCCAGGGACAGGTTCATTGAGGGGCTTCATGGAAGAGGGGACATCTAAGCTGAGCCTGAAAGAGGCCTAGGAAGGAGTCCAGCTGAAAGGGAGTGGAGCACAGGTGCTCGTGGAGGAACAAGTTTGGCCCGGGACTTGGCTACACGGCTAGCCGGGCCTCTTGCTGGGGCGGGTATCTGGTTTCTTCCTGGAGCCCCCCTTTACTCTCCAGCCAGGCTGGGATCCAGAGGAAGACAGCATGTGGTAGAGGCCTCAATTTAGCTCTCAGGGCCAAGGGGCGAGGCTGCCCGGGAACTTTTAGGGAAATCCAAAGATAGCTCAGCAGAGGAGGGTGACTTGCAAGCTCAGCAGAGGAGGATGACTTGCAGCCGAGTTTCCCCTTGAATGGGGGAAGCAGGGGTGAATCAGTGTCTCCAGCAGGAGTGGAGCTGCTTAGGAAGTCAGACCTGGGTTCGAGGCCCCAAGGCTACTTGGCCTCTGACTCACCCCGGGCAGGGCCGGGCAGGGAGGGAAGGCACAGCAGGGACAGGCTGGGTGTGAATCTGGCCTCTGCAACCCGGATGCCTGGCTTCCTAGCTGGGACCTGGGACCAGGCCTGGCCACTCCTGAAACTCAGTTTCTATATCTGTCCGATGGGGTAGGGTGGGGCGGGGAGTGGTTAATGGTGATTGTGCAGGGAACACAAAACTGGGCACCTGACAGGGCTCTGTGGCAGCCCCCTTCCTTTTCCTGTCTGAGCCCCGACAGACGCCTCCTGACCAGAAGTGAAACCAGTATGCCGGCGGTTTGGGCTCCTGCTAGCCTCCTGGTAAGTGAATGAGTCATCCTCTAGGTTCTAGTGAGACGCGGATAGAAGGGGGCTCGGCAGAAAAGCAAGAAGAGCAACCACACACTGGGTGTGAAAATCAGTAATAGTAATAACAATGATTCTCTCTCATGTATTTGGTTCTTACTAAATGCCCAACCGTCTGTGCCACTTCCTGTTTTGATCTTCACAGCAGCTATGTGGGGAGGTAGTGCTATTTTATGGGCAAAGTAAATGTTCAAAGAGGTAAAGCCACTTTCCCTAGGTCACACTGCAAGTATATGGCAGAACCAGGATGTGGAACCCCCCCCCCCCTCCATCTGTCTGAATTCAAGTCAAGGCTCTCTCCTAGCCTCAGATCTGGATGGGGTTGCTGAGGAGCACCCAACTTATAGAGTTGATAGGGCACTCAGGAGGCCTTTTTTTATAGGTGGGGAAACTGAGGTTCAGACAGGGCAAGGGCCTTCCACGGGAGGATCTACCAGTTTGGAGCATTTATAAAGAAACAGCAACTTCTGGCTTTGTTTAACATTTATTACAAAGTATAAGAGCAGAGATCGGTGAGTTGTGTGCCCCTCGCCATTCCTCCCCACCAGGTATTCTCTGCAGCTCTGGAAAAAATAGTGTCCTCTTTGCTGTCCACCAGGGGGCGCCGCCCCCTGCCTCTCAGACCCGGTTCCTTCAGCTCTTCCGTCCAGCGGTAACTGAAGCCTCCTAGCATCCTGGACTCTGGGCCCTTCCTGCCCTTCTCCCTGGAGAGCTGGAGTGGGTGGGGAGGCGCAGGTACCTCCACTTCTAACCGAAAGCCAGAGGTCCTCTATAGCAGCACAGTGAGAGTGGTCCTGATGAGGGCGTGTGGGGTAGTGCTGGCCATGTTCCCATCTGGGGTCTCTGGAGGTCCAAGGCTTCCCCTTCAGCCGCATCCCCTGAGGGCTCCTGCCATCGGAAAGTCAACCCACCCAAGGCGGCCCCCATTAGTCCTCACACCTTGAGGTATTTTCTTCACAGGGCTAGGTCAGGAGTGGCAGGGAGGATGCTCTTGACCTCCATCTTGGGAAAGGAGCCTGATTGTCCTCCATGGATCCTGAGGGGAGAGAAAGAGGGAGAGATGGGTGGACAGGCAGTCCAGAGAGGAGAAGGACAGTGAGAGTGGCACTTACCAAGATGGAAGCCGACAGAAGCAGTGGGCGAGGCGGGAGGAAGAGGGTGGGCGGGCTGGCACCAGGAGACCAGGTGCCGGGGGCATTTGGACACAAGCGCAGGCTGCACAGAGCTTGAGTGACCAGGAACAGGCAGAGAGAGAGAGAGACCAAGCAAAGAAGGAGGGGGTCACTGAGGGGCAGGAAGGAGACCAGGGGAGAAGGAGGGGCTCCCTCCTTTTCTCCCAGTCCAGCCCTGAACTCAGAGTCCTTTCCTCCTGGCAGAGCCAGAGCCCAAGAGAAAGTGTGGCCACATTGACACTGGCCACAGGTCCCCTTCCTCCGACCTTTCTTCCTGTCCAAGTCCCAGCCCCCTCACCAGCTACGTGGCCTCCTGACTGGCTTCTGGGAGCTGCTGTGGCCCCAGGGCAGTGCCCAGCAGCTCGGTTAGGGCGTCCAGTTTCCCTGCCAAGGCATCGATCCGCTTCTCCAGGGCCCGGTGCGAGCTGCTCAGGCCCAGCTGCAGGTCACACAGGATCATGTGCATCTGGGTGAGAAGAGAGGGTCAGGCGTCAGGGGCTGTCAGGGGCTGGGGTGGACTCCTCCCCACTCCAGCACTGACGAGTCCTTACTGACCCTTGAAGATTATCCTCAGTTATAATTGTTGCCCTTTCTTAAAGACCCAAAGCCCAGAACCTCTTAAAAGCCACAGGGAGCAGGAATCCTGTTCCCATCTTATAGCTGAGGAAACTGAGGCACGGAGCACCTAGAATAGGACCTGGCACATAATAGATGCTCATTAAATACCTGTGCAATTGATAGGCCTGGCTTCGAAATCCTGACAGCCCATTTACTGCACTCCCAAACTGGGGATTCACAGTGTGATTCCCGAGGCTCTGTGAGCTTTCTTTTTCTTTTTCATTTTTTGGTGCTGGGAATCGAACCCAGGGCCTTATGCATACAAGGCAAGCACTCTACCAACTGAGCCATATCCCCAGCCCCTGTGTGAACTTCCTATGGGAATTCTTGAATGCTGTGTTTTGAATTCAATAATCTTCAGAAAAGACAACCGGCCCGTTCTGGCAGACCTGGGCCATCACCTCCTCACTGACACCTGCCATGATGTTTTTTAAAAAATATTTTTAATTGTAGATGGACACAATACCTTTATTTTATTTATTTAGTTTTTTTTTCTTTTAATGTGGTGCTACGGATCAAACCCAGTGCCCCACGTGTGCCAAGCAAGCGCTCTACCACTGGGCCACAACCCCAGCCTGGCCATGCTGTTTTGGGGCTTGAATCTGTGACTGTGTTTACCATGGCATTGGTGCCAAGAGCCACTGTTTGAACTGTCGTGGCCTAATGAGAGAAAGCAAAGGCCACCACATTAAGAAAAGGTGCCACGAACCAGACCAAGGGCGAGTGACGTCACTGTCCCTCAGCACTGGTGGAATCAAATGGTTTGAGCGAGCCAGGTGAGACACACCTAGGCTGGCAGGCAGCCTGGCCCAGCACGGGGCCCCTTCAACAGTGAGCATCCCCTTCACAATGGATTGAGTTTTACTGAAACAATGTCACCTGTATTCTTGTCAGTGCTCCTAAGTTGAATTTTGCCATCTGTTTGTTCTTGATTTGTAAATTTGCTTTGGTTTTATTGTGTAAGAGTCATTGTTGGAAAGAATTTTATATCCGTCCACATTTAAGTAACTTGATAATAAAGATAATTTGAAATCAAACATTGGGGTGGTTGTTTTTTTTTTCCCCGGTACTTGGGATGGAACCCAGTGCCTCACACATGCTAGGCAAACACTCTACCACTGAGCTACATCCCCAGTCCTTTTTAAAACTTTTGTTTTGAAATGGTCTCACTAAGTTGCTGGAGCTGGCCTCAAATTTGATATCCTTCTGTCTCAGCCTCCCAGGTCACTGGGATTACAGGCGTGTGCCACTGCACCTGGCAATACTATTTTATATTATTATTATTATTATTTTGGTACCAGGGATTGGACCCAGGGGCATTTAACCACTGAGCCACATCCCAGCCCTTTTTGTATTTTATTTGGAGACAGGGGCTCACTGAGTTGGTGAGGCTGGCTTTGAACTTGTAACCCACCTGCCTCAGCTTCCCAAGCCACTGGGATGTGTGTGGGCCACCGGGCCCAGCTAAGATCCCCTATTTTAGAGCCAGATGTCCCTGCCAGAGGCCCAGCCTCCCCTTCTTCCAGACCTGGTACCTTGGAGATGTCCACCATGGAGTTCACTTGCTCTCGGAGCTTTCGGTGTTTCAGCCGCACCTGTCGGAACCTGTGGGGGGAAGCTGGGAGTCGGTTTTCCTACAACCTGGTCCCCAGCTGGCCTTAGCTGAGGGGTGGGATGAGGGGAGCAGAGACGAACATGGACAGAGCACAAAGAAGAGGTGTGCCTGAGAGCCTGAAGGTGCGGAGGAGCCCCCACTCTGCAGCAGCCCGAGACTCCAGGCCCACAGACGCATCCAGCCACATCCAGACCGAGATCCCCGACATTTGCTGAGCGAGACCACACGTGGGTGTCCTGACCTGGACACGCATGGGCATGCACACACACAGCCACGCAGAGAGGGGACAGGACACACAGCTGCCCTTACGTGTGGATGGCGGCCAGCAGCTTGCGCTGATGCCTGCGGGCAGCCCTGGAGTCCTTCCTGCGTGTGTGTTTGTAGTACATCCAGGCCTCCTGCAGCAGGCGGGCAGCTGACTCCTTCATCTGGCAGCGGGTGGCACAGAGTCAGTGGACACAGACCTGAGGGCTCTGCGAAGGGGGCACTCCCGGGAGCTGGCACAGGGAGGGAAGGGCCCTGCTCTGGGTGGCCTGCGCCCAGCCTACCTCTTTGGCATAATGGATGTCCATCATGAAGTTGTGCACGTGCTTCTCGGCCTTGTTAAACTCTAGCTTCCGGGCCACCACGGCCACCAGCAGGGCTGTGCAGCACACCCCCTGTGGGCACAGCAGGCACTGTGGCGTGAGGCTGTGGGGCTCTGGGGGCCAGCCCTGTGCCACCAACCCTCTCTTGAAATCTCCCAGCAGTCACAGGGGGCAGGGACAACCATCCCCAGGTGACAACCGGAAAAGAGGCTCTGAAAGGACCCACAGCCCAGAGCGCCCAAACAGGGTCAGAAAGTGCACGTGTCTGAGTCCAGAGGCTCTGCATAGCGGTCACACCCCACCAGCATGGCCTCTTTCATATCGGAAGAAGAAGAGCTGGTCAAGAGGGGCAGACCGCGGGTTCCCAAGGGGCCCCTTCTCACTACTCATTCTTAGTCGGCCATCAGGTCCCTGGGAGTGACCCTCACACTCCTGAGGTCTCTTCCCAACTCATTTCCCTCCAGGACAATCTTCAGCCCAGCCCCCCACTCACCCTGCTTGACCCGCGGGAGTCCTGACACCCTATTATGACCTTGCGCCCCTCACTCTAAACCCCACCTGGGCTCCCACTTCCCTGAACTTCTCAGCCTGGCTCTGGGGGCCTTCTTTGGTCCAGGCCTCGGCCCTGGCTGTGCTCTCCCTCACCTGCCTGAGTGCTCTCCGCTGAACACTTTCCTGGGCCTTCAGGGGCCTGTCAAATCCTTGCTGCTCCGTGGCCTCTGCCCTCTCTCCCTGGACTTGGAATGAACCCTCCTTGGAAGCTCCCCCGTCCCGTGTCTCAAGTCTCAATCACTTAGAGCGGTTCACTAGTCACCAACCCGGGCTCCCAGGACTGCCTAGGTCCAAGCCCAGTTCTGAGCAAGTCATTTATCTCTCAGTATTTCCATTTCTTATCCGAAAATGGGCACGTCCACGTCCTCTGTGGAGTGTCACTGTGAACTCCATGAGTTGACACCTGGCAAATGTTTGGGGCAGAGACTGGCACAGGTATGTCCCCAGTAAAAGTAAGCCATCATCCACCACACGGTGGAACCCTGGGCCAGGAGGGGGCTGTGAGCCTCACGTGCCTTATCTCTCTGGGTCTCAGTTTCTCCTTCTGTCAGGTGAAGGAGGTGGTCCCATTCAGTCCCAAGGGGCCTGGCCCTTTGGGAGCATTTTCCTGGCTAAGTCTCTGCCCCTCTTTCCTTGTCCTGAAGACTCACCACTGGGGCGGGGGTGGGGGCTCACATTTCCCTGCCCCCCATCCCCTGTGCCTATGGACCCAGGTCTTAGGCATTCAACATGTCCTCCCTAGGACATCAGAACTGGAGGCTCAGATGTGGGAGGGCAGAGGGAGCCAGATCTTGTGGGGAGATGAAGACCAGGGCATTGGGGGCCGAGCCCTGGGGTGGGATGGGGCTATGGTGTGAAGGAGCTGGATGGCTGGGTTCAGCAGGAAGCTTGAGCCTGGGGCTGAGGGGGCCTCAGTTTCATCCTTGAGAGCACAGGAACTGGGGCGGGGGTGGCTGTGTGTCTGGGACCAGTTATAGTAATGGTGCTCTCCCAAAGTCCCATTTACTGAGCTCTTCCTGTGTGCTAGGCACTGTTTGAAGCCCTTTACATGGTTTAACTCATGTAATTGTCTCAGCACCTGATGAGGAGTACACCAGCATCGGCATCCCCATTTTACAGATGAGGAAATTGAGACCTGGAGATTTTGCAGCTTGCCTAAGATCCCCAGCTGAGAAGCAGAAGTGGAGATTTGAACCCTTGGAGCCCGGTCCCAAAGGCATGATCCTGGTGATGACCCTAAGCCCTTGATAGAGGTTAAGAGACCAGATCCCCAGGTTCTAGAAGCAAATGGGCTGGGAAATCAGGAGTCGGGGGTCCCTGGGGCAGGAACAGGTCCTAGGATCATGGTCTATGGTCCTAGGTTCCAGAGAGAGCAAGGACTTAGTGGCTGGATTCCTTGGTCTCAAAGAAAATGGTTTTGTGTCTGGGTCCCTGAGAGGGGATAAGGCTGGGTGGGGAACAAAATTTTCATGAGGTGTCCCTGAGAACCCGTGTTGGCTCCATGGTTTCCTGGGGCTCTGAGGATAAGCAGTTTGGAGGGGGCAGGGTTTCTAGGGACTTGGACTCACCATAACTCCAGTGCAGAGACAGACAATCTTGCCCCACATGGTACCTGGCACCACATCCCCATAGCCAATGGTTAGGAACGTGATGGGGATCAGCCACAATGTGTCTGAGAGGTGCCCAGTGGCATTAACAGCCTGCCTATGGGAAAGGATAGGTTAGTTCTGAAATCCCACCCTAGAGATGACCAAGATGTTTGCTCCCCTCCACCCGCCATGTGCTCTCCCTCCCCATCCACACCTAGTCCCAGGATGAACCTGGGCAGTAAGTTCTAGGCTTTGGAGAGCCTCCTTTCTGCTATGCTTAGCCACTCTGGGCTGTGGGATTTGAACTTGAGCCTGGCCAGTTCCAAAGCCTGCATTGAGGCGGTCAAGGGGTTGGCAGAGAATGTGTGGCTAAGGACTGAGAGGGGACTGAAACCCTGCCTGAAGTCAGACCTGACAGGGTTGCACTCACCAGGAGAAAGGAGTACCTTTATCTAACTTCCACAAAGGTGCTGCATGGCCTACAAGTGGCCTTATAAAAACCCAAAAGGTGGAACTCTAAAAAATCTGTCCCTTGCTGAAGATCACCAGGTGTGGTGGCACTTGCCTGTAATCTAAGTGACTTGGGAGGCTGAGGTAAGAGGATTGCAATTTCAAGGCCAGCCTGGGCAACTTAGCCAGACCCTCTCTCAAAAATAAAAATAATAATAATAATAAAGGGCTGGGGATGTTGCTCAGTGGTAGAGCACCCCAGGTTCAATCCCCAGTGTGACAGAACAAAATAAAAACCCTGAGTTTTATACAGTTTCCAGGTGGCAGCCAGGACCCAATTCCCTGCAGGGACTTTCCAGAGTAGCTGCAAACACCTCCTTTCCAGGCTCACAGCAAATTCCTACAGGACCTCTATGCTAATTTGGAACAGCTGTCCCCTTCCTCCAAGGCAGATGCAACTGGTAGCCTGGGTTTGGAGGCTGAGCAGGTGCCCCGAAGTCCGAGATGGAAGAAGGGGAGCCAGAAGGGTGGGCTGCCTGGGGTCTGGGGGGGGCAGGCGCTGAAGGTCATCTGTGGAGCACTGGCTTGGATTGCTGTGTGGATGGGGACGTGAGCAAGGATGGAAACTGACCTGTCCCCACCGTTGGCGTCCACCTGCACCACTCTGAGCCACCCGCCTCCCTCCCTAAGCCGCAGGACCCTCACCTCTCCGCCACCGAGAGCACCCAGGCTGTGGTGAGCCAGAGGCCAAGCGTGAGGCCGAGCAGCAGGCGGCCCGGGTGCGTGTTCATGTACAGCTTGGCCACGAACCAGTGGCGGAAGCGGACCTGGTTGAGAGCACCGATGCTGCGGTAGGACGCGTTGAGCAGGACGCCGCTGCGCAGGAGGACCGCGCGGGGCACCAGGTAGAGGCGCAGCAGCATGGCTAGTGACAGCAGCGCCTCCCCCTCGCCCAGGAAGCCCGGCCAGGGCTGCGTCCCCTTCTCGCCCGACCCCGTCGCGCACGGCGGGCCCCTCAAGGGTGCAGGGTGCAGCCCGCACACCGCCAGCTCCAGCACGATCTGCGCCGCCTGCCGCGGAGTCAGCGCCACGCGCCAGTCCCGGAGCCCGTTGTCAGTCATGAACAACTGCCGGGAAGGGCGACAGGGAGGGGGTCAGGTGCAGGCCGGGCGGCGGCCCGCCCGCTCTGCACCCCGAGATAAGGTGGGGCGTCTGCTGGGCCCTGGAGAGAGAGATAGCAGTAGGGCGTCGAGCTGGACAGGGCTGGGGAGGGAGCTGGGCAGGATCCGAAGACCTCTCTCCACTTTCTCCACCAACCCTTAGTTTCTGCCCCCTTCCAGAACTTTCATGAACATTGACTGAACGCAGGCTGTGTGCCCGGCCATGTCCTATATGCTGAGGATTCGAATCGAACAAAACAGAAACCTCTTCCTCTTTGGAGTTTATAGGCACATTCCTGAGGCGGCTTTTAATCCTGTTCTGGGAACACATGTAGTAATTGTTCTAGCAATAACATCAGGGGAATCAACAGTCAAGATTTATGGGGCACTTCTCCCCTTTATGTGTTGTGCCTCAGTAGTGCTATGACACAGTGAAAGGGATAGTACCTCCATTTTATAGATGCAGCAATGGAGGCCCAGATGCTTCAGGTGGGCGGTGGCACACTTAACTATTGCTGAGAGTGCTGTTGCTGTGGCAGCTAAAGCCACTTAACTATGGCTGTTATTTTTATTCATTTTTTGCAATGCCTGAGATGGAACCAGGGCCTTTGGTATGCTATGCAAGCACTCTATCACTCAGCTACGCTCCCAGCCCCTCTAACACCTGCAATTAATAAGAATGATAATCTGTACCCTTTTACTAAGTACCTCTCATGTGCCAGGCACTGCACAGGGGCATTTCCATGCATGACCAATTTAAGGCCATGGTATAAAGAGAGAGGAAATGGAGCAATAGGACCTGGGAAGATGGGTCTGGGGAGACCGGAAGTGGGGGCATGGGGGTGCAAAGAGTTCCTCCATCTGGGGAAATATTGAGCCAGAAATGGGGAAATCAGGGGCAGGTACTAGCTAGGACCTTAGGTGACTTGCAGCTGGAATTAGTGGGAACAAAGATGGAAGACAGATCTGGAGGCTGGGCCTGGAGTAAGGTGGCCTGGGGCAGAGCGCAGCTGGCAGGCAGCAGGGCTGGAAGGGTAGGACTCTCTGCATCAGGAGTGTGTAAGGGGGAGACCAGGGGCTGCTGGTGGGGGAAGGGCCAGGGCTGCCCTGGGAGGTTCTGTCCTACTGTCCTTCTTAGTGGGCAAGGGTGTGAATACATCAGAGGGTGGAGGAGCTTCAGATCAGGAGGAGAAGGTAGAAAGTGTGGGCTGAAAGAGCACAAGGACACGTGGGGTTTAGGGTTGCAAAGCTCAGGGGTAGCAATGACCCTACCTGGATCTCTTTGGCATGGAAGGCCACGATCAGGCAGAGGAGCAAGATGGTGGAAATGCTGATCATGCACTTGACCAGGAATAGGTAGAGGGCCCACTGTAGGAAGGATAGAAAACACGTGAGGTCCAGGTCTCCAGTCCACCAGTCCCCTGTACCTTCCTTGGAAACCACCATCCCTTCCATTCCCCATTTCCTAGCCCCTAGACCAGTCATTCCTGGTGTTTCAGTTCAGAGACATCTCAGAACCATTATGCAGTCCCCAGGGAGATGCTGTCTTCCTTCCCAAATGGACAGCCCTGTCCCAGATGCCATGTTCATCTTCCTTCGTTCTTCTCCCTGGATTCAGACCCCCTGAAGGGAGACCTTGAAGCTCATGCACTTTGTTATTCTCCTGTCCCCTTCCAGTAAAAAATACTGCCTGGGTTATATTTTTCTTCAGAGCGTCTAGAAAAAGACCTCTGGCCTCCCCTTCACTCCTACCCAACTGATCCTGCCCTAGAATCAATGTCAATGCTCACCCAATTCCAGAAGAGACTAGAAACCACCATTCAACCCCCGAGAACACGACACCCTTCCCTGCTATCTTCCATGAGACCGAATCCTTGAGACCCCAGCCCCAGGTCTTAGAATGCCCCCCAGTTCTGCCCCCTGCACCTCCTCCTCCCCTCTCTCCTGGCTCCAAGCCCAGGGCAGATCTAGCCGGAAGCACAGGGCCTCCAGAAACCACGAGAACTCTTTTTTCCTCTCTTTGTGTGACAATACCTTGGAGGAATCTAGAATTCTAGAGGGGGAGATTTAGAGGGGACTGCTGAATTCCCTAAGAAGGGTTAGTTTGGGGTATACTGTCAGGGGAAGGGGCCACCTGCCCCCGCCCCCAGCCCTACACCTGTTTCTCCTAAGGCTGCCAGCTCCCCTGGTTGGACCTAGGCCAGGGCTCCGCCTCTGAGCAGGGGAAGAGGGCCAGTTTCCTGCCCCAGGGGGCCTCCCCCATCCCCTCCCTGAACAATGGTGCTGTTGTCCCTAGCCCTCCCCCACCCCTTCACCCTTCCAGGGCTCCCTGGTTCCCTGTCTGTCTTCAGTGTGTCTCAACCTCATCTCATTCAACAGCACCCCCCTCCCCACACTGCAGTGCACCTCTCTGGTGGCCCTCTCTACTCTCCCACTGAAACTGTCTCTACTTGGACCCTTACCCCTTTGAATTCCCCTTTCTCTGGGGATGGTTGTTTTGAGATCTCTCTTTCTGGTGGACTTTCTGCCACTCCATATGGATTTCTCAGTGATTCCCAAGCTCTATTTATGTTGGTGGCTGTCCCTCTCTGTCCCTTACTGCCTCTTTATCTCTGGCTCTGTCTCTCTCTCCATTCCTCCCCTCCCAAGCCAAGACACCTATCATTTTTAAAAAATATTTTGTTAGTTGTAGCTGGACACATACCTTTATTTTATTTACTTGTTTTTATGTGGTGCTGAGGATCGAACCCAGTGCCCCGCACATGTGAGGCAAGCGCTCCACCACTGAGCCACAACCCCAGTCCCAAAGACACCTATCTTGTTCCCCTGTCCTTCCCAGGCTTTGGCGCTTCTTCCTGCAGCCCCTCCCCCAGGACAGCAGGTGTCTGGGACCTTGCAAAATGAGCTCATTAGCTGAGATGGACGTGCAGAGGGGACAAGGAAGTTATCAAGGCAGTCATTGAAAGGAAGCGGAGGAGGGCCCGCTGCTTGTGTGAGAACTGCAGATCAGGGATGCAGCAGCTTTCCCAAGGTCCCACCCATGGACTGGACGCAGTGGCAGGTGGTGGAGGGAAGGAAGAAATGTGAGGTGAGGACAGGGAGGAAGAGAGTGGGGTAGGAAGGACCCCCTTGCCCCTTCCCATCTGCCAGGCTCCCCTGCCCCACCTCCCCTGCTGGGCGCGGTCCTGAAGTGTGGGAGCGCCGCATAGGCCCCGGCCATGCTTCCTGTTGGCATGGGCTTCGGCTGCCCCACCTCCTCACTGCCGCTGCCCTCTCCCTGGCCGCCTGGCCAGAGGAAGCTGGCCTGCCTTGACCTCCGTGTGGCTGCCGGTTCCTCCAGAGCTGCCCACTCCCCCATCCCCAAATCTAAGACTGAGCTTCACGTCCCTGTCTTTAGCAGCCCGGTCCACAACCCTGAGCCCAGACAGGGCTTCAACCTCTCCTTTCCTGTGGGCAATTCCGTTCCCTCTCAAGCCACTGATTCAGACCCTTGTCCTCCATCTGTCCCTATCACTGCCCAGACCAGGGCTGGAATGTGCCCGTAGCCTGCTGAGACCTGTTCTGGCCCCACCTACCCCCCTCAGAGTCAGCCCTTTCCCCCAAAGAAGTGTGGGAGCACCTAAGCCTCCTTCTCGCTCAGACTCCGGAGCCTCGGTTCAGCCCCCTCTCCCGGGGACCAAGGAGTTCAGGCTACACCAACCTGCCTCTCACTGCCTCCCAGGTGAGGAGCACGCAGATCTGGGGGAAGCTGGGCTTCTAAGTGACGGTGATGGGGGACGGGAGGTGCTTCCACTTCCCACCCCCACCCCGTCACTGTTCTGGGCTCTGCCCCTGGCAGTCCCGGCAGCGGGCGAACGTTAGATAAGGAGCCGCCGCCTCCTGGAAGAAGTTCGCCTTTCTCTCCACCCTCCCTTCACCGAGGCCGGGGCCATGGGGTCAGCCTTCCTCTGACCTCCACGGGGCCTGCACCTCCAGGGGTCCGGTTACAACTTTTTCAAAGACTGAAACACTGTGACCCTGTTCCCTCCCCAGCTCTTGCAGGGAGAGACCCCCACATTGAACTCTCCAAGGTCTCCGGAGCCAAGGCCCCAAGTCTCCTCCTCCCTCAGACCCAGAGATCCAGAAACTCACCCCTCCTCCCTCAACCCAGGGGTCCACGCCCAGCCCCCCTCCCTCCGACCCAGGGTCCAGCCCCAGCCCCCGCCCTCAACCCAGGGGTCCGACCCCAGCCCTCCCCTCTCAGAGCCAGGGGTCCAGGCCCAGCCTCCCATGCCCCAGCGGGAAGGCTGCACTCACCGGGCACCCCCCAAACCACAGCATCTCCGCGTGCAGCACCATGAGTCCGATGCCAATTCCCGCCAGCGCCAGCGCCCAGCCGGCCAGCCACTTCTCCTGCTCCAGCAGGCGCTTTCGCCGCCGCAGGGCCCCCAGGCCAGACACCAGCTCCCCGCCCATGGCCCCTGAGGTCTTGGGGCTCAGCCAGCTTCCTGCCCAGGGTCCCCCACCTCGTAATACGCAAATGGCAGCCACTTTGGCTTCCAGGCGGGCGGCCGGCTCTGCTCGCACTGGGGCTTTGGCTCCGAGGCACCGCGGAGCCCTGTGCCCTCTGGGGAGTGGTAACGTTGGCGGCTGGGCAGGGCGGGGAGGGGCAGGGGAGGTCCCTGGGTAGGGGGAGGCTCCCCAACCCCCCTTTCCAGACTAAGGAGGGGCTGGGGTGTGTCTTGGGGCAGAGCTAGAAAGAGGCATCCATCCACGTGGGAGAGACACACACTGCCACACAGGGGCTGTGACCAGAACGGTCTGCACCTTGTGATACCACCTACACCCACCACACCCAGACACCACAGGACACCCCGGCCGGAGTGGGAGCCTAACACACTGGGGCCCGCGACGCAACCTTCAGAGTGACTCACAACTCCCCACAAACTGAAATCTGCAGCCACACCCAGACACCACACACATGGTGTGACACACGCCGGCACTTAGCAAGGCAGGCAGTGTCCCCGGCCCACACGGCCACCCAAATATTGTCCCCACACAAGCACAAGCATTACATTCAAAACTGCCACAATATTCTCTGACACAGTCACACCCAGACATCACACCTAGGGCAATGCCTATCTGTAGCCATACAAACACAACAAGCACTACACAAACACACAATACGTATTGACACAGTGATACCCAAACGCCACTACACCCAACACATACAAGGCACTCGTGGTGTTCCGCACACCACACACCCATGTAGCGACAGCCAGTACACACAAACACGCAACACCTAGGCACACGGCCATGGCAGCCCCCGGCCACACAGCTCATAGAGAAACACACACTGACACACATCGCAGTGCATGGCCATGCCAAGGCACATGCTCACATGCTCATGAGGATGATTCACAATACACACTGATTCACCCGGACACACAACGTGCCCCAGTGTACAGCGTGGTTCAAATGCATGGTCAGAGACCCAGATCAATGGATGCCTGCTGAGACAGACACAGGCACACCTAAGGGGACCCAAGCAGCACAATGTATCCTTTCTTTTTTTGGTACCAGAGATTGAACTTGGGGATACTTAACCACTGAGCCCCATCCTCGGCCCTTGTTATTTTTTATTTTAAGAAAGGGTCTCACTAAGTTGCTTGGGGCCTCACTAAGTTGCTGAGGCTGGCCCCGAACTTGCAATCCTTCTGCCTCAGTCCCCCATACTGCTGGGATTACAGGCGTGTGCCACCACACCTGGCCAGACTGGTTCATCTTGACCACACCAAACACAACCGGGGATGATTACCCTGAGGTGGAGGGATTATGCCCCAAATGTAACACACGCCATCCCCTCTGACCCACAAGCCACAACTGAGCGTCACATATGACACCCGCACGCGCTGTATTTCAAGATGTGTGGCTGCACAACCACAAAGCATAAACAGTCGTATGTAAACATATGGCGACACAACATACTGACCCATTTCCCAAGAAAAACAACCTTTCACAAACAACCACCTGTCACATAAAACACCAGATGTGCCCCCATTGATTGCAGCCCACACCAGGGTGGCAACAAGACCACCCAGGACCCCAGACAAGCTCATCCACAACCACACAAACACAGCACACCTTGAGTGTTCCTTGGCAGGGAAGGGAGAGGCCCCCAACAGGGCATACACCCGGATGTAAGATGCAGGATCGCAACGCTGAGTGATACACAGTGTCACACACACAAGTTCCACAAAGAGACACAACACACACTGACACACAGCAGCAGTGTCAAATGTGGTGCAGTGTGACCCATAGTGACTCCCAGATCGATGTGCAGCAGGGAACACATACGTCCACACACTGTGTCTGCACACAAATCAGAACCTACCCATGGTGACACAGGGACACACTGACGTGGTCACACAAAACACCTCACACAGCAGCGCACATCAACCTCACCATGCACGGGACTCCTGCTCTCCGAGGAGCGTGTAGAAATAACCCTTCTGCCTCCCGTGTCCTGTGCCACGCAGGACCCAGGACCTGCCAGCCACAGGGAAATCAAACACTCGCGGACAGACGTCTGGCACCACACCAAGGCAACCCACAAGGACACACCCAGAGACACCAAACCACACACACAGACACGCCCGGTGACAAAAACACAACCCCTGGGGGTGCCTTGCCATGGGGCTGGGCACACTGTTCCTGATTACCACTCGGTGACATACATGCGGCCAGCGGCGGGAGAAAGATGGAGACACACCCAGGCGCACCCAGACACCACGCTTGCGTCTCCTTGGAGAAAGTGCAGCCACCGGCGGGTGCTCCTGCTCCTGGAGAAAGTCTGTGCCTGGCCGCCCGCACCCTCCCTCAGCACCTCTCCTCCCTCTTCCTGTCCCTGGCTCTCACCTCTGACTCCTTCCTCAACTTCTCCCGCTCTGGGCGCCTCTGGGTTCTCTTTCTCTCCTGTGTCTGTCTCTGTCACGCTCCCTCTCTAACTATGTCCCTGTCCATAGGTCTGTTTCCATTGCCTCTCTGTCTCCCTGTCTCACTGTGTCTCAGCCTCTTTGTGTCTCTGGTCTCCCTTGTATCTCTGTCTGGGTCTCCTTCTTTGGTCCCTGGTTTTCTATTTCATTCTCTCTCTCTCTGCACCTCTGCATTCACCATTGTCTCTCTCTCTCTCTCTCTCTCTCTCTCTCTCTCTCTCTCTCTCTCTAAGGATTGAACCCAGGGGCACTTGCCCACTGAACCCCATCCCTAGCCCTGTTTTGTATTTTATTAGAGACAGGGTCTCACTGAGTTGCTTAGCGCCTCACCATTGCTGAGGCTGGCTTTGAACTCATGATCCTCCTGCCTCAGCCTTGGGAGCCGTAAATTTTTTTGTTTTGAGACAAGGTCTTGCTAAGTTGCTTACAGCCTCATTAAATTGCCGAGGGAGGCTGGCCTTGAACTTGCCATCCTCCTGCCTCAGCCTGCCAAGCCGCTGGGATGACGGGCGCGTGCCACCCACACTGCTTGTCTGTTTCTTTTTCCACCTGTCTCTGCTCTATGGGCTTCATTCTGTCCCTAGGATTCTGTTTCTGTCTCTGTCTCTTGCTGAATTGAGGTCTCAGTCACTTTTTTTCTGTCTCTGTCTCCCTCCCTACCTCCAGGTCTCCCTCCCCTACCCCCAGCTTGTCTTTGGGTTTCCCTCTGCTCTTCATTGGCTCCCCTGTGGACAGCCCCCCCTTCCTTCCAACTTGGTCCTGGTCCCATTGAGGAGCTGAGGCCCAGAGAACCATTATGACCCACGTAAGAGTCAAAAGCCACAAAACAGCTCCAGCTTCTCCACAGCTTCTGTCCCCAGCTTCAGGTACTTTTGAGAAACTGACAGAGACTGACCCAGAGGGTGGGAGAGGACAATCAGAGAGACTGAGTGGGACAGCCAAAGAGAGATGTAGGAATCAAAGCGGGGAGAGGTCAGCTCAATGGCAGAGTGTGCTTGGCATGCACAAGGTCCTGGGGTCCACTCCTGGCACCACAGATACACAAGACAGGAACAACGAAAATCAGAGAGATGGAGGGAGAAGGGACTCAGAAGTGAAGAGAAAGAAAAAAAAGAAGCCTGAGCGGGCAGCCCTGAGGGTCATGGTGGGAAGGGGACCTGCCTTCAGCTGCTGAAGTTCTGGGCAGCAGGGTTCCGTGGGTAGGAAACAGCACTACCAGCCAGGCTCTCCAGCCCAGGGAGGGGCGTGGGGGCCGTGACTCAGGGCCCCAAAGCTTCCTGTGACTCAGCCTCCATCCCAACCCTGAAGGGGGAGTGGAGGGAGACAGGGTCTCTGTAAAGAAAGGGAGAACGAACACCAGAGGATCTCAGTGAGTAAGAGAAGGGACCAAGGAGGGCCTGGGGCCTGGACGCCTGAGTCTGAGGAAGGGGGGCTGGGGCCTGGACCCCTGGGACTCAGGGAGGAGGGGGCTGGGGGCCTGGACCCCTGGGTCTCAGGGAGGAGGGGGCTGGGGGCCTGGACCCCTGGGTCTCAGGGAGGAGGGGGCTGGGGGCCTGGACCCCTGGGTCTCAGGGAGGAGGGGCTGGGGGCCTGGACCCCTGGGTCTCAGGGAGGAGGGGGCTGGGGGCCTGGACCCCTGGGTCTCAGGGAGGAGGGGGCTGGGGGCCTGGACCCCTGGGTCTCAGGGAGGAGGGGGCTGGGGGCCTGGACCCCTGGGTCTCAGGGAGGAGGGGCTGGGGGCCTGGACCCCTGGGTCTGAGGGAGGAGGGAACTGGATCCCATAGTCCGGGTCCAGGAAGACTAGAAGAACTGATTCAGAAGTTCCCAGGGCTTCTCCCTGGCCTGGTCCCACCTGCCCCACCTTCAACCTAGCCCCATCTCCGGGCCTGGAAGGGACCCAGGTGCCTTAGGGCCCAGCCGGAAGGGGCCAAGGACAAAGAGTTGTTTAACTGGGAAGGGTGGTGGAGGGGACTGAAGAAGAGGGTGTCTCAGTGGAAAGGTCAGTTGTCGCCCAGGGCTGGTGCAGGGGAAGTCGGCAGGGCTGAGCCCCGGGGAAGACATCCTGAAAGTCAGAGGCCTGTGGGGGCCAATCCTCCAACCACTGTCTTTGGGACCTTGGCATAGATGGGCTCAGGGGAATAAGGAGACTCCCACCTTGTGGTGGTTTTGGGAACTGCAGGCCCTCTGTTTACCCAGTTCTTGTAATTGAGCCTTCCTGAGTGCCAGGCACTCTGTTCTAAGAACTGGGGAATATCATGATTAACAAAGTAGGCAACAGACCTGCCCTCGTGATGCTTCCAGGTTCCGGAAGACAGACCTCGTGGTTAGTTGACCTCAGTCTCTCATTTTCACTCAGTCTGTCACTGGACTGACTTCTCTGTTTCTCTTTTGGTCTGAATCTCCAAGAGCATGCCTTCCTCCTTTTTCTTTCTTTCTGTGTTTATTGATTTTCCCCCTTTTTTTTTTATCTGTGTTTCCCACCAAATAAGAATCGTGTAAGTTATTATATTAACATGCATACATATGCACATGTACACACACACACACACAAAGTCCTAGAGACTTTAGTTTTGTCTCCATGTGAATCTTAGGGAGGAGGGCTGGAGCATGCCTCCTGGGTCTGAGGGAGGAGGGGCTGGGGGCTCCTCCTCCTTCAGACTTTACCCTGCATGGGATCTAACATACATACAGCCTGCTTTAGAGAGACCTGAGTTCAGTCCAGCTGCTGTCCCTAGCTGGGTGTCCTGAGCCTTGTGAAATGGGGATGATAATTACTCTACCTCTGTCATAGGGTTCCTTGAGGATAAGGTGAGGTACACTGTCAGGAGCCTGCAACACAGGACCTGGTTTATGTATTTAGCACCTATGGTACATTGGGTCCCAGGCTGGCTGCTAATGGTTCCTTCCCTGGCTGTCCTGGCATGTGTCTTCTCCCACCAAGAAGTACAGTCCCCTCTCCTTCTGTCTGTCTTTGATGAATAGAATGTGGCATAAATGATGTCAGCTAGTTCCAGGTCCAGTTGTCAAGAGAACAAGAGACTTCTGTTTTTGTGCTCTTCAAACTTTAAAGCCACCATGCTATAAGGAAGCCCAAGCTAATCCCTTGGAGAGGGACTATCAGAGGAGAATCAAAACCTGAGCAAAACCTCCAATCTAGCCCTTGCAGAAAGTAGCCACATGAGTAACCTCATGAGACAGACCAGAAGAAGGGCCCAGCTAACCCTCAGAATCATGAGAAATGATACTTTTTTGTTGTTGATTTTAAATACTAAGTTTTAGAGTGGCTTGTTATACAATAGTAGCAAATAGTATATTCTTCTGTTCACTTCTGTATGTTTGAAGTTTTCCACAACAAAAGGGTACATATATGAACATGCGTGTACATATGTGTGTATACATAATACATGTATATACATATGAATCAATAATGGAAATTGCACTCCATGAATTGTAGCCAGTACAGTTTTGCTTCTGTTTGCCTCTGAGTCTTTCCAGTAAATCTCTGCTTGTCTTTTACACTTTCTTGTCTCTCTCCATCTCTTTCTGGGTATTGTCGCGGACCTTGCCCAGCCTCTCTCCCCTGCCTTCCCCTTGTGTCCTCCCATTGGCTTTTTGGCTGATCCTTCAACAGGCCACGCTATTTCTACCTCAGGGCCTTGGCGTTTTCTGTTCCCTGAACCTCTTCATGTGTCATTCCCTCTCTTTAGTTCTCTGCTCAAATATACTCTCTTTCTTGATAATCCCTTCCAGAATGGTCTCTTTCATCCCCTTATACATCCTGTGTCCCATTTCATTGTCTTATCTTCATTATAGAAATTATAACCATGTAAAGTGACTCTATTCTTTCTTTCTTTCCTTCCTTCCTTCCTTCCTTCCAATTGAAGCCAGGGGTGCTTTACTACTGAGTCACATCCCCAGCCTTTTAAAAAATTTTTCATTTTCTTCAGGGTCTCACTAAATTGCTTAGGGCCTCGCTAAGTTGTCGAGGCTGGCTTTGAACTCACAATCCTCCTGCCTTAGCCTCTGGAGTTGCTGGGATTATAGGCATGCACCACCATGCCTGACAACCTTATTTTCTTAATTGTCTAGTTGTTTAAGGACAGAGATTGCTATTCCAGCGAATAGAACAGTGTCTGGCATGTAGGGATGCTCAAGGAATATTTGTTGAAGTAATACTCTCTTTTGATGATACCGAATGACTCTTCTTTGACTCCAGGTGGGAAGGATGCGTCTCTCCATTTTCCACCTTTTGTGCGCCATTAGTCAAGTTGCTGTCTGTGGTTCTGAGACCCAACACCATGGATCTGTCCTTGGTGCTGACCCAGGCTTCCAGTTTCCTTAAACTAGGGAGGGTGGAGTCATCTTGGGAAGGGGCAGTGTCCCCTGTAAGACCCAGGCATTGAATTGTTTGCATAACTGAGGAAAGGCAGACATCCTGAGTGCCCAAGGGAGGGAGCAAACGGGTCACTGAGAGTTGAGTGGGGATTTGAACTCTCTTTCATCTATTCATATATATGTATGCACTTACACGGTCGTTCCTTAGTATCTGCAGAGGATTGATTCCAGATCCCTCTCTGCCTCCTGCCCAGGATACTGAAATAAAGGGATGCTCAAGTTCCTTATATAAATGATGCAGTATTTGCATATAACCTATGCATATTCTCTTGTACACTTCAAATCATCTCTAGGTTATTTATGATGCCTAACCCAGTGCAAATGATTTATATACGATCTGCAGTTGATCGAATCCACAGATGAAGAATCTGTGGATACACAGGGTTCACTATATATGAGAGCTTCAACCATAGAGAAATGAAGAGTACAATAGACTTCCAGGAATACATTTAAAATACCTTCTATGCTTCCAGCCGCTTCCTCACTTTCTGTGTTATTTAAATGCAAATCTCAGAAATGATATCATTTAATTATATGTTGTATTTTAAATTATTTGCTTTCTCTTGAGATATGACATACCTAGTAAAATCCACAAGTCTTAAGTGTATAAACTGGTGCAGTTCTACTTATATGTAGATTCGTGTGCCCCCCCCCCCCGCTGCCCCAGGCATCTCCATCTTCTCAAAAGGTCCTTTTACATCCTCTTCCAGAGATAGCAAGCATTTTGAACTTCTGTCACCAGAGTTTTAAAAGTCACAATATGGAAATCCAGAGAACTGGGTTCTAGCCTTGGCTTTGCTAGGGACACTATTATTTTTAATGAATATGTCATATGTGCAGAAAGTACATAAAGTACATAAAATCAGATGGGCATGATGGCACACACCTGTAATCCCAGCTGCTCAGAAGGTTGAGGTAGAAGAATCGCAACTTAGCATGTTCAAAATGCAAAAGGGCTGGGGCTGTAGCTCAGTGGTAGAGCACTCCTGGGTTCAGTCCCCTGTACCTCCCCCACCCCCAAATAGAAACAAGTTTCTAAAGGCCTCAGACATGGGTGAGGTCAGGAGGATCTGAAATGACAGGCTCTGTCGAATGTTCCAAGAGAATGGCATCAGCACCTGCTTGGCTTCTGGTGGGGGCCAGAGGCTGCTCCAATTCATGGCAGAAAACAGAAAGGCAAGCCAGTTCATGCCAAGGACACAAGGCACATGGGATGGCCTTGTCCTGTGATAACCCACTATCATCAGAAGGCCTCAGGTTCTCCTTAGGACCTAATCGCCTCTCAAAGGCCCCAAACATTGCACTGGGAATTAGCATTCAGCATGAGATTTGGAGGGGACAGACCTTCTAGGAATGAACTCTTGGGTCATTTTACTAAGTAAAGACCACCAGCCAGCTGAGGGCAAAGGAAACATGGGATGAAAAATAGAAGAAGGAAATTAAACACATCAATGGTGTCCTTGAGACCAGTTATGGGTATGCAAGCTGTAGCAGCTACATTTCTTTTCCTTGGCTTCCCCCTTCCTTCCTTTTTAAAAAATATTTTCTTGTATATGTTCATCTATTAATTTATTTTAATATCGTTTCTTCTTTCCTTTTATTATTTTATATAAGGATTGTAGGAGATCGTGACCCTTGTGGTGTTTTTTGTTTGTTTATTTTTATTTTTAATTTTTACCACTGAGCTACCTCCCAGTCCTGTTTTTTACTATGTTTTTAAAAAATATTTTCAGTTGTAGGGGCAGGAGTTGTAGCTCAGCAGTACAGTGCTTGCCTGACATGTGTGAGGCACTGGGTTCGATTCTCAGTACCACATATAAATAAATAAAGGTCTATCAACAACTAAAAAGAATTTTAAAAATATTTTCAGTTGTAGATGGACACAATACTTAAATTAATTAACTAACGTATTGATTAATGTGGTGCTGAGAATCAAATCTAGTGCTTCACACATGCTATAACCCCAGCCCATATTATTATGTTTTTAAATTTTGAGACAGGGTGTCGGTAAATTACTGAGGATGACCTTGAACTTGTGATCCTCCTGCCTCAGCCTCCTGAGTGGCTAGAAGTATAGGCAGGCACCACTATACCTAGTTGGTCCTTGTGTCTAGACATCAAAATTTTGTCAATAGAATCCATGCTTTTTCTCTGCTGTCTCCTTTGCTCCATCAAAACCAAATATTTCCTGCACATTATGAGACAACAGTAATTATTTGCTGAAAGAGTAGTACAAAAAATGGCTATAGATGACCACAAATTAAGATGACAAGACATGTATGTGAATGGGGTAGACAAAAATGAATGGTATGCAAGTTTAACTTCAATCAGAATATAGATAATAAAATATTAAATATTCCCTGGGTAATTCAAAACCAGTCAACAAAATGCAGACCATATCTTCTGGATCTTTTAGTCAATCCCTTTCTTTCTTTTCTTTTTTTGGTATTGGGGATTGGACCTGGGGTACTTTACCATGGCATTACATCCCAGCTGTTTTTAATTTTTATTTTGAGAAAGGATCTCACGAAGTTTCCCAGGCTGACCTTAAACCTGCAATCCTCAAGCCAGGCATGGTGGCGTATGCCTGTAATCCCAGTGGCTTAGGAAGCCAAGGCAGGAAGATCATGAGTTCAAACCCAGCCTCAGCAATTTAACAAGGACCTACTCAGTGAGACCCTGTCTCAAAATAAAACATGAAAAGAGGCTGGGGATGTGGCTCAGTTGTTAAGCGCCCCTGAGTTCCATCCCTGATACAAACAAACAAACAACAAAATTGCAGTCTCCTGGGTACCACTGCATCTGTTAGTCAATTCTTTTTTGTTTTTAGTACTGGGGATTGAACCCAGAGTTGCTTCACCACTGAGCCACACCCCCAGCCCCTTTTTATATTTTATTTTGAGGCAGGGTCTTGCTGAGTTACTTAGGGCCTTGTTAAATTGCTGAGGCTGGCTTTAAACTTGCCATCCTCCTATATCAGTCTCCCGAGTAGCTGGGATTACAGACCTGCAGCACTATGACCGGCCCATTCTTTTCTTTAATGTGTTTCCTAAAATTTAAGAGTTCATGTGAGAAGATGACTGACTATTGGAAGTCTTTACCCCTTTGCTCCTTTAGTTGTAATTAAATACATAATTTTTAAGAAAGGCTTTTTTGTTTTTCTCTTTGCCTCTTTCTTCATTTGCCTTTTCTGCACCAAAAAAGCTTTCTATCTATCTATCTATCTATCTATCTATCTATCTATCTATCTATGGGATTGAACCCAGGGCCACACACATATTAGGCAAGCACTCTAACACTGAGCCATGTCCCCAGTCCCCCAAGAAAACTTTTTAAATCTCTTAAACCTTTTATGGAAAATAATGTACATATAGAAAGAGCTCAAAATCATAAGCAGACAGCTCAATAAATTCTCAGATCAAGTAATACAATGACTGAGTCCCCAGGAACCTCTGTATTCCCTCTTCTAATCACTAATCCCCGTGGATAATCACTGTTCAGATTTCTAATTTCATATGTTAGTTTTACAAACTATGCCAACAAAGTTTTTTTAAAAAATTTAATTAATTAATTTTATTATTATTTTTTGGTACCAGGGATTGAACCGAGGGCTGCTTAACTACTGAGCCACATCCCCAGCCCTTTTTATTTTATTTATTTATTTTTAAAATTTTAAGTCAGGGTCCTCGTGAGTATTTGCTGAAAGAGTAGTAGGGCCTTGCTAAATTGCTAAGTTTCTGAGGCTGGCTTTGAACTTGCAATCCTCCTGCCTCATCTTCCTGATCTGCTGGGATTACAGGCTTGCACCACCATGCCCAGCCATTTAATTTAATTTTCAATACTGGGGATTGAACCCAGGGGCATTTTAGCTCTGAGCTACATCCCTGGCCCTTTTAAATTTTTATTTGAGACAAGATCTTGCTAAATTGATGAGGCTGAACAAGAACTTGTGATCCTCCTGCCTCAGCCTCCAGAGTAGCTGGGATTTCAGGTACTCCCATGAGCCACTGTGAGGGGCTGCTGATGATATTAACTGAGACAGCATCATGGATCCTTCCTAGCACTGTGACTGGGTTCTAGAGGAAGAGCCTGGGAAACTGTCACAGGTTCCTGTAGTAATGGCTATTGTCAGAACTGCTCCTCGGGTGGGGCAAGGTGTGACTGTTTCTTGGGGTGCTGGTGACTGGGTCCAGTTTCTTCCAGGCTGGCTAACCAGCCCTGGGCAGGGTGGTGGTAGGCAAGCAGGAGGGAGAGGGAGGTGGATGGTCATGGCCAGAGGGACAGGGGTGCTGCTCTTGTTTTGACATCATTTTCCAGCTGGGGCTGAAGCAGTGAGGAGAAGGAGGTGTACCCTGCCCAACATCCCGAGGTGGGGGGAACTATATGGAGAGCCAGAGGGGTCCTCCCAGAGAACTGACCAGAAGAGGGGCTAGGAGGGCCAGGGTCATGATGTGGGGCACCCGGTGAGGAGCAGCAGCTGTAGGGGTGTTGAAGGCCTGGGTCACGGAGTCCCTGTTGCAGAGATGCCCTTCACAGCAGGCGCCCTGGAGGTCAATGGCTGTCCAGGGGCTGGTGGTGCCCATGGTGGTGCAGGAGGGCCGGTGGCAGGTTCGGATGTACACAGGGACTGAGAAATTGCCTGGGGTGGGCAGTGGGGAGGGATCAGAACCAGAGAGGCAGTTGCACCTGAGCCTCCACCCTAGAGGCCATGTCCAGTGCCACGACTCAGTCCTCAGACTCACTTCAGTGCTTTCTCCTTCGGCCAGGGCCACGCCTCCTCCCGCAGATTGGGGCTGTCTCCCTGTCAGGCCTGTCTTGTGCCTCTGCCCTGGGACCCGCCTCGCCTCCACATCCCTTGCCCAGGTCCATGCCCCCTTCCAGCCCCTCACCGGTGGTCATTCGGCCATTGCCCTGGAAACAGACGCTCTGGTCCTGGTGACACTGGACCCGTCGGGACTTGTCAGGAGAGCAATCCTCGGGGTGGACGCCCACGCAGGCGTAGCACTCGGTGCCGCTGAGCCTCGGTGGGTCAGGTGCTAACAAGAGAAAGCAGACGCGCACCCAGGCAGTCGTTCCCAGGTTCGGTTCCGCGGCTGCGCACTGCACCGGGGTGCCCGCCGAGCCCAACGGGGAGGCTGGCGAAGGGGCGCGACCGCCGCGGGTGCTCAGCGGAGGCCACGCCCCACCCGGCCCCTGACCGCCCCGCCCCGCCCTGCTTTCCACCTTGACTCAGGTTGGGGATGACGTCATGGGTCACGAGGTGGTTGTTGCAAAAGTCTCCCACGCAGCCTCGCACCACCGAGAAGTCCGGCGGCAGCGCGTCTTGGTTGGACTGCATGGAGCCGGCCGTGGGTCCCGTCCAGCAGCCCTTCTTTACCAGGGTCACCGGTGCGCGATACCCTGGGGACGCGAGGAGGAGAGGCCTTGAGTTCAACACTCCTCCTTCTCTCCTAGCTCTCCTCTCCCCCACCTCCGCCAGGCTCTTCTCCCCTGCTCCTCCCTCCCTCCTTCCCCTCTTCCCCACCTAATCGTTCCCTCTCCTCTCCCTCCTTTCCCACCTCCTTTTCCTACCTTCTCCGTTGTCTTTTTCCTCCCCATCTCTCTCTTGTGCCCCGTCCACTCTTTTCTCTCTCCCCTCCTCTCCATCTGTCCCTATCCTTGGCTGCCTCGCTAGCAATTTCCCCTCCTTTCCTCTTTCCTCGCTCCTTCCCTCCCCCCCCTCTCTCTAATTTCTCATTCCCCTTCCTCTCCCCTCTTCCTTTCTTCTTCTGCACGCCCTTCTCCTTTTCTAGCCTCTGTGAGGCCCTCACCAGTGTCCAGGGACAGGACAACCTCAGAGCATCCGTGGGGACAGGAGATACTGGGGAACTTCATGTCACTGAGGTCAAAGGGCCCCGTGTAGGTGTGCTCAAAGCTGTAGCACTGCAGGGCTCCGGAACCTAGGAGGGGCGTAGGGGCGGCATCAGCAGGGCCAGGGCAGGAGCCTTTCCTAGGGACTCAGGGACCACACATGGCCAGGCCCCTCCGCCCAGAAGGAAGCTGGGCCTTGATGCCCTGAGAGAACAGGGTCTGTTATTGCAGCCAGTCATGGTTGGGTCTGTGTCGCCGCAGAGCAATGCCCTCTCTGCAGTTTTTCCCTCCAAGTTGTTCCAGGTCTCCACCCTCATCCAGGAAGCCCTCTAAGACTTAGATAAGGGAGGAGGAAGTGATTCATTGCCTCTGTCCATCCCTCCCCAAGTAAGCACGTTAGATACAGTAGCACTAAAAGACTTCCGACGGGAAACAGGTGCCCCAGTTGAAGTCCAGTGAGGTGCAGTTTGGTGTGATAATCTCACACACAGCCAGCCCAGTAACACACGCACAGAACACTAAACACTGAGGTAAGGCAAACTGAACTTGACACAGGTCCATGCACATCTCATAAACACAGATGGAACAGCCTGAACGAACCCATGCAGGGTTCTACAGTCTCACACAAAACCAGTGTTCACCTGGACGCCCATTACAAACACTCCAGCCCATGTCGCAGAACCTCAGGCTTGGGAGTGTGATTTTGTATACATTGTTTTGAGGGATTCAGAAGTGCAGGAAATCATACCAAGACACAGGGAACTACAGACCCAAGAATCACATATATGCAAATAAAACAAGAGACCACAATTAGACAAAGTTAGAGATTATTGAAAATGAGACCATAAGTACATACAGTTTAAAATCATTTAGGGATCCAAGATATATAGACATGCAACAGGTGCACACAGAGAAAAATACACACACACACATGTGTGTGTGTATATATGGAGAAAGACCCACAAATCAGAGATGCACAGAGACACAGTTACACCTAATTATATGCATCTCTCTTATACAAAGAAAATAAAGTTCGGAGATAAACAGAGCCACAAAAGCATTTTTTAAAATATGCAGACATCAAAATCTGGCACAGAGAAACACACACAAGCACAGAGACCCCAAGGACACACTGACAACACACAGAGCCCACACTCTCTCCAGGGATGCACAGATACACACGTGTGCACAGGAATAGCCTCCTTCTTGCCTCTCTTTCTCTTTGTAGCCATTGCCATTCTGAAATGACATGTCCCCATCCTAGACCAGTTAGGGGAAGAGGAAACCTGAAGATGAGGCCAAGGTCCCTGAGAGTTTGGAAAAGGGCACTGGTGACTCCCCAGAAATACCCTTGAATGTGGGGCTGGGCAGGGAGAGGGAAGGCTGGAGTAATGGAGAAGATAGTTACTGGAGAGAATGACTGAGAAGGGGAAGAAGAGAGAGGAAGAGAGAGAAATGAGTGAACATAGCCTCCAGCCTCCTCCCTGCCTTAGACCCAGGAGTCCAGCCCCAGCCCTCCTCCCCCTGACCCAGAAGTACAGGTCTCAGCCCTCCTCCCTCAGACCCAGGGGTCCAGCCCCAGTCTCCTCCCTCAGACTTAAGAGTCCAGGCCCAGCCTCCTCCCTCAGACCCAGGGTCCAGGCCCTAATCCCCCTTCCTCAGACCCAAGGGTCTGGGCTGCAGCCCTCCTCCCTCTGACCCAGCGGTACAGGCCCCCAAACCCTTCTTATATTGGGCTCCGAGGTTGAAGTACCTGTCGGACAGAGCACAGTCCCAAAGAGGCAGAGCAGAAAGGCCCTGGGGACCCCCATTGCCAGAGTGTGGATCTGCGCTGAGACACCCAGGACAACTCCTGCTGCTTGGTTTGCTGTCTGGCTGGTTCTTCTTAATGAGCCCAGGCATCCTGGCTGCCCAGCCTGGCCAGGATTCCTCCACCCCACCCTCCCTTATGTGGGCTGATCTCCTAGGTAATCATGACCTGGCCAGGATGAGTCCTGGGTGCTAAAGGAAGAAGGGATTCCTGTCCCAAGGAAGGAGCTAGGGGTCTGTAAGACTTAATTTGTGGGGCACAGTGGTGGGGTTTGTGGTTTCTTCCTCCCCTCCTCCCCATACTCTATCCTAGTCTGGGAATGGCCTCTTGCCTTCTCTTCTCTTTCCCTACATCAAAACACGCTTCCTGCACACTCAGACACACACAGCTCCCAATCCTGGGGCCACGTCTCCAGATTTAGAGATACACACACATCATCCCCTCCCTGGGGCCATCTCTGACCCTCACCTCCCTGCTCAGCCATCTCTCTTTGGCCTCCAACACCTCACTCTCTCCCAGCCCTGATCAAACTAGGCTGGGCTGGTGTCTGTCTCTTCCACCAGGCTGTGACCTCCTCAGGGGCCTCCAGGGATAGCTGTGATATTGCAGAATAAATGAGTGGATGAATCAATCAATTAATCAATCAATACACAAAGAGGCACAAGAGAGAAAGAAGACATATAAGAGTCAAGTGCAGTGGCACATGCCTGTAATCCCAGTGGCTCAGGAGGCTGAGACAGGAGGATCGCGAGTTCAACTACCTCTTTTTTGGGTGGGGGGTACCAGGGATTGAACTTGGGGGCGCTCAACCACTGAGCCATATCTCCAGCCCTATTTTGTATTTTATTTAGAGATAGGGTCTCACTGAGTTGCTTAGTGCCTCATTGTTGCCGAGGCTGGCTTTGAACTCACCATCCTCCTGCCTCAGCCTCCAGAGCTGCTGGGATTTCAGATGTGCGCCACCCTGCCCAGCTGGATTGTGAGTTCAATCAATCCCAGGGGTCCAGGTCCCGCCCCCCCCCCACAACCAGATGTGGACAGATGTAAATGTAGACACAGAGACAAACTCAGAGGGAAAGAGGGATACCTGATGGATAGTACATGACCACAGAGGGTATTTAATGAGAGTTTATTAAATGAATGAAACAGGCCTTGCTTTGCCAGCACAAATCCTAGCATGGGTGAAGATCTGAGAAAGCAGATGGCGCTGTCCAAGGAAGTCTATGGATGGGGAGCTGAGGGGTGGGCTGACAAACTAAGTGAGCTTTCTGCCGGCTCTGATGCTGTCTTTTCTCCCAGGGACGATGCAGACAGAGCTAAGAGCAGTGGGTGGTTTGTGTCACTGATCCTTCTGGTTCTGTCCCAACAAAGCTGTGATTGAGGCTTTCGATAATCCCCACTTGTACGAATCTGTGGCTCCCCCATCACTGATTTTATCATGTTATTTTAGAGTTTGCTTCTGTGTGGGTGGACATCCGTGTGAAGTTACTATTAATACTGTATTTTGTGGTGGTAGGGATGGAGCCTGGGGCCTCATGCACACCAAGCATGTGCTCTATCCCCGAGCTCCACCCCCAGATCATGTGTGTAATTTTGAAAATAGCTTTAAAAAATTGCATCCTAATGATTGCATAAATGACAAATGAAGTAGCCAGGTGCAGCGGTGCGCGCCTGGAATCCCAGAAACTCAGGAGGCTGAGGCAGGAGGATCACTAATTCAATATTTTGAATTTGTACTTTTCCACTGGGCAATTAGACAATGTCTCAAAATAAAAAAGTTAAAAGGGCTGAGGATGTTGCTTAGTGGTAAAGTCCCCTTGGACTTTACTCAGTTCTTTTTTTTTTTTAAGAGAGAGAGAGAGAGAATTTTAATATTTATTTTTTGGTTCTCGGCGGACACAACATCTTTGTATGTGGTGCTGAGGATCAAACCCGGGCCACATGCATGCCAGGCGAGAGCGCTACCGCTTGAGCCACATCCCCAGCCCTGGATTCAGTTCTTAATACCAAAAAACAAAAAATGAAATTAAAAAAATAAAAACACCAGGGAGAGGAATACGCTGGCACTGGAGGACACGCACACAGAATCACATGACATTCCGACGTTAAACAGGTGGGGGTATCTATATGGATGCCCCAGTAGGCTGCTGGAGTTGGGGACAGAGACCTTGAGCTAGGTCTTCTGACCTGTCTCACTTCCTGCTGCCTGGAGATGCTGCTGCCTGGGTCAGACACATCCACACGTGCCAGGTGGGTCAGGTGGACACTGGGCATTGCAGAGTCTGCGGATCATGGACCCACAGATGGATGGGATATCCAGTCAACATGATGGCAGCGACCGAGAGGGCCTTAGAGTCCTCTTGGTTTGACTAAATTTTAGACAGGTCTTCCTGACTCAGGGCCTCCAGTTGCTTAGAGGACTGCTATGTCTGAATGTGTCCCCCAGAAGTTCAGGTGCTGGATGGAAACCTAAGATGAGGTCATCAGGGTAGGGAACCCGTGACGGCATTAGTGATTTCATAATAAGAGACCTGAGCTAGTGCACCTGCTCTGTTTCACCATGTGATGCCCTTGGACCTTTATTTTATTCATTTATTTATGTGTGGTGCTGAGAATCGAACTCAGTGCCTCACACATGCTTGGCAAGCGCTCTACCACTGAGCCACAAACCCAGCCCCCACCTCGGCCTCTTGCGATGCAGCAAGAAGGGCCTCACCAGATGCCGGTGCCTATTCTTGGGACTTCCCAACCTCCAGAACCATGAGCTAAATAAAACTCTATTATGTACAAATTAGCTAGTATGTGGTGTTCAGTTATAGCAACAGAAAATGAATTAAGACAAGCACTTGCTTAAGAAAACTTGTCATTTCAATTTCTTTCTCTGCTCCCTTTGAAATGGAGGTGAATCTTTTCTGGCCCCTGGCTGACTTTTCAACCTAGAATTGTCTTCCTTAAGGACCTGGGAGCCAGGTCTGTGAAATATAATCATCAAAGGAGACGGGGCCCCTATCTCCCAGTCTTGTGTGAAGTTAGGAGCCTAACTCTGATAAGGGACAATGAGCAAGCACAGTTGGCTCAATCAGAGAGATAAACTTTTGCAACCTCAGGAATAACTCTAAGTCCTGGACACATCCGTTGACCAGCTTCCTTTGGTCTTTCTTCAGTACTTTTCCACTAGCTCTTCCAACATTCAAAAGCCCTCCCACTTTTGTTTCCGTGGACTTGAGTTTATCTTCCCTCCTCTGTGGCAATCTTGAATAACATCTCCCTTGCCTGTTGAACTTCATCTGGTGCAATTTTTCTTTGACGGGAGACACCCAGCCACTGTGGACACTCACAAACTCCCCTGCCCTCATCTTGCCAAATCTCTGTCCCTCCCATCAGGCCTCACTTCCCAGAACCTGTTCAGCACCTAAATTACTCTTCCTGCTTCTCTGGTTCCTGCCCCAGGCTGTCTGTGGGGGGGCCGTCCAGATGGGGGCAGGGTGGACCTTAGGGTCTCTGGAAAGTGGAGTCTTGCCTGGAAGAAATCTGGGTTCTCCAAAGCCCCTGTGGAAAGTGGAGGAGTTGGAGGTCGTCACAGGAGTTCACAGTTTTAGAGATTGAGGTTTATGGAGATGGTGGACCAATGGTTGGGGTGGATTTTGACTCTGGTAACCTTTAGCAACTTTTAGAGTCTTTCAGGTTATCAAATAGGAAGTTCCCCAATACAGGAAGTAGTGATCACAGGAAATAGTGATTATAAAAACATAATCTCTGGGTTCACAGGGAGCTCAGTGTTCATTGAATAGCCCTCTGCAACGCAAGATTCCCACCAAAAGCCCTAGCATTAAATGAAATGTATAGGGGGCCATTGGTTTGGAACAGAAATCCTGCACTAAGCCCAAAAAACTCAAGCCAAAATGGACCTAGTGACCATTACTAGTGTCAAAAGACAAAAATTACAATAAATGTAGCTTAAAGATCTTAATGGACTTTATTTGTTGTTCTCAAATCCAGCAAGACTTCATTCCTTAAAATAAAATGAGTGTTCTAATGAGCTGAGCAAAGGAGGTTGACTTTGTACACAGAAGCATTAACAGCAGATAAAAAGCAGATCAGTCATTTTAAAACAATTGTTCTTTTCTACAGGTTAAAGGAACCTTGTTGGACTGGCTAAAATGGCTTGTTTGGTGAGTTGACTATTATCTTTGTTTCTCCCGATTTCTTGGAAGGTGAGCTAATTTAATTTCACTTGGTAGCATGGGACTTTGGCATGAGTGACTCCATTTTGGTTTGGTCTTCTGGGCTTAGTGCAGGACCTCAATCCAAACTGATGGTCTCCTACATGTTTTATTTAATGCTAGACATTTTGGTTGGCACTTTTGGGTTTGCACACAGCTATACAATGAACCCTGGGCTCCCTATGAACCTAGAGATTCTTTATTATTTCATAATCACTTTTTAGAAATTAAACTTTAGTAATGAAGTCATTAATTACTTAAGAGCTTGGAGAAAACTGAGGCCATTTTGGGGTTGCCATTAAGGTACTATTTTAAACATTTTTATTTTAGGAATTTTTAAACACAAGCCAATGTACAGAGAATGAAGTACACATCATGCAGGCTCCACAATTGTTGAAATGTCACTGATCTTGTTCTCCTTTCCCTGTTGGTGCTTGTCAGAGCATTAGGTGTTTTAAAGTGGGGTCCTGTGTTATTTTGCTCAAAATATTAATTTTGCTTAAAACACCATTTAAATGTAGAATTTTCGGGGGCTGGGGCTGGGGCTCAGTGACAGAGCACTTGCCTAGAATGTGTGAGGCACTGGGTTCGATCCTTGGCAGCACCACATTAAAAAAATAGTATTCTATATACTACAATAAAAAATATTTAAAAAGTAGAATTTTCTTTTTCAGTACAGGGGATTGACCTCAGAGGCTACTGAGTTACAACTCCAGCCTTTTTTATTTATTAATTTTGAGACAGGGTTTCGCTAGGTTGCCCAGCCTAGTCTTGAACATGTGATCCTCCTGCCTCAGCTGCCTGAGTAGCTGGGATTACAGGTGTGTGCCACTGCCCCAGGCTCTCGAAATAATTTTTAACCGGGGCTGGG